CCTTTCCCCTTTCCCCTTTCCCCTTCCTGGCCTGTGTACTGGAGTGAATATCCAATATGAGGAAATAGGTGCAGTTTCCCCCTCAGTGTTACTGCTCTGCTTTGAAATGCATGCACTTCCCTCTTCCTTTGTACTAATTTGCCACGCCCGACATCCCCCACACCCCAGCAATGTCCCTTTTGCTGTTTTGCCATGAGATCTCCTTATTTCCCCCCAATTACTCTCCCTTGAGGTCTGCACAATTTTTCCTTGACAACATTTGCATACATCTGGTGATTCTCCAGATGTGTAAATGTGGCAGCTGGGGGCCAGTGGAGGAAAATAATAAGCACAAAGGTTTGGGGGAAGCCAAAAGTGGAAAAGTGGCTTGCAGGAGAGGAACTTTAGGGGTGGATGTTCTTTAGTCGAACATGGAGCAGTCTTCAAAGTTCACTAGCAAGGAAAGCACTGAAGTCCAGGGTGAACTGGACAAGGTTATTTACAAAAGTGAGGAAACAGTGTGCTCGGTTAAACAGCAGGCGTGTCCTTGTGCAAGAGTGCAACATCTGGGCACAGGGAAATTACAAATGCATTGCCATGTTCACAAGAACTCCAAACTTAACTCCATTTGATGATCTGATCAGTAGCAGGAGAAATTGCAGCAGACAACTGCAGGAAGGGTGTTGTTGTCAGGAATACAAAATTAATTTTGTGCAAAAGGGGCCTGAGATACATGCCAGGAGCTGGAGGGAGGCCTGGGGGGTGCAGGGGGAGGGGGAAACAGTCCACAGCAAGTAATGGAGTGCCCAGTTACCTGTCAGGTGAATGAACAACCAACCAACCCATGATGGCTTCTCCCCAGGGTGACCAGCAGGTGAATCTGCCTGTAATGCCCAGCTCAAACATTTAGAATGAAAAACATGTAGGATGTTTCTGTTGCTGGCAATCTACCATAACTGATAAATTGTGGACCCTCCACTTTCAGAATTAGAGTACCTTTGAGTACCAGCCACGGAAGACAAAATGGAAGGGTAAATGTTGTATCTAAGTAACACAGCAGTAGAACCAGCTGCCTAGAGAGGTGGTGGGCTTTCCCAACCCAGAGACATTCAGAAAGAAATTGGGCAGCCCTCTGAGTGGGATGGTGTGACTTGTCCTGCAGCAGCAGGGGGTTGGACCCGGTGGCCTTCATGGCTCTTCCAGCTCTACCATTCTATCATTCTGTGATTCTATGAGATGCACCATTCTTGACCCTTGCTTGTGAGTTTCCCAGAGGAGTCTGGATGACTGCTATGGAATGCTGGACAAAGGTGACTCTTGAATCCACCTGGAGAACTCCAGATGGGAAAATCTTCCAGGGCGAAAAGCAGGAGGCATCCTTGCAGGCTCATCTTCATTTCAACGAGCTTTGCTTTGGACTTTTCTCTTTCTTTTAATGAAAGCCACATATCCATGCTACCGTTCAGCTCAAACATGTCTGTGCATCTGTGTGCTTAGCTAAGCCTTCCATAATGTGGTACTCTCCAGATCTGGACTACAGTTTCCATCATGCTCATCAATATAACTCATTAAGCATTAGATGTAGACTTGCTTGAGAGCCTCTCACTGTATAATAAATGTCTGAAAACTTAGGGCCAGGACAATCAAAGTGATTATAGCGCAAGCCTTACCTTTTAAAATGAGATTCTTGTTCAGGTTAATTGGGCAATTGATTAAACAAAAGGAACTCAATTGTGTGGTAAAGCATTTATTGTCTACAGCCCATAGCCAACTATAAAAAGAAAAGTGTGTGTATGTTGGGCAAAACTTATGTTATGCACACATAAACACATCTTATAAGACATACCATGCCTATATTTGCATGGATTAGAGAAATGCACACAAAATATGCACACTTATTTGTGTCACCATTTACAAAAAATGGAAATAGTTGCACAAGCAGAAAGGAGCAACCTTAATGTTAGAAGAGTGAGAAATGGTGCAGACGCGAGCTTTGGGGATCTTCCACCCCTGCCAAGGATGGAAATCTGCCCTCGGTTGGAGCCCCTTCTTGATGGAGGGAAACAAAACTGAAATCCATGGAGGACCATGCCTAAAAATACTAAATATTATATGGTAGATGTTCCATCCGCAACCTTGAGAAAGGGGCGCTTTCTTTCTGAAGTAATACTAAATATTAATGCTGATAATTTTTCTCCTTTTTATGCTTATAAAAATAAAGACAAAGTTAAATAGTGCCCGCAAGAGGGGGCAATCTTTAATTATTTTGCAGCGCCTGCCTTGTCTTGCCTCCAAAAGTCCTGGATAGCCCTGGAATAATCCAAATATGATCCTATGTCTGGATTATTTGGGGGGGGGTGGCTCCAGCTACCTAAATCTGCCCCTCAATGTTGCCTAAAGGCCAGGTAGATAAGCTACCAAGGCTATGAGTTTTTCTAGAGAAATTCTGCCTCTCAAGTGTTGCTGGAATCAGGTCTTCAAGTCCTGCTGCCACAAATGGGGCGGCACAGTCAGCAAGGTCTTCCTGAGTTGGGCTGTTCCAACCAGCAAGTTGGTTCCCATGTGACGGCTGACATTTGAGTCTGCTGGTTTTAATCCATGCTTCCATCCAAACCTGGCAAGCAGTGAAACCTTTAGCAACTGCATGGGAAGAGGACTGCACAGCATGTTAAAAGAGGACACATACCTTCTCTATAGGGCCAGGGTAACATTGCACCTCTGCTCGCCTGCATGAAATTGTTGGCTAAACAGAAACCCTAGAAAAGACCTTGCGTATATGAAGATCTGTTCTGGGGGGAATTCTGTCTGGATAGATTATTCTTCCGGGCTGAGTCTGCTTTGGCTTTGCTTCTCCTGGCTGCTGCTTTTCTCCCCTTCCTGGCCCAAGGGAAAGCAGGACCTCAATCCATCTCAGTCACATAGAAAGACTGTGGGATGGAAAAGTCGCCATACATTTTCATAGCCAGTCATATTGGGTGATGTGATGATGCAACCTAGAGCAATGCCATCCAGCCAATCAGGAATCACATCCTGGAAAGATGGTGGTGTTAATGCCATGTAGCCAATCTGCCCTCAGCACCTGAGGACATCGCTGTGGGCTGGGAGGTCACCCCAGAATCGAAATGTGGGGGCTGCACTTCGGGGGAGGTGCTGAGAAAGCGGGAGGTGTCTTGTTATTATTTTGTGGAACGGGTGATACACTTTTCACAACATGTGAGAAGCTCCAGTGCAGCCCATGGTCTGTCTCACATCTTAGCCGTTCCCCCACTGCCACTGCCCCGGCATGCCTCCCAGCCATGACTCCCTCTTCTTTTAACCTTTTTTTTTTCTGTGTGGCCAGGAGAACTTATCTACATTATGGACTAATGAGCTGTAAAATTACAGTTTAAAAATAAATCCATTTCTGTAAGATATTAAAATGCTCCAGAGAGAGAGAGAGAGAGAGAGAGAGAGAGAGAAACCCCAATGTTTTTGCAACAGATTAGATAGCTCAAAACCTGACATGACCCCTTTCCCTTCCAGGGTCCAGCTCTACTAAAAGTCTCCATTTCAATCAGAGATTGTTGGGTCTCTTTTCAATTACAGGAACTTAAGTGCAAATAGATTGCCTTGGAACATGTGCAGAGTGCTCCCCCCACCACCACTGTGCATATTCAGACTACTCTCACTCCTGTATTAGCAGTTCTGCATATTCCCCTGCTTCCTCCTTGGACATCCTGCTGAACTGTGCAGGCCCAACCCTGCTGAGCGTGATAGTGCTTGACATTAATGCTCCCTGCTTCCTGGTGAGCTGCTAAGTCCTGCAGTCAAATCTCGACTCCACAGTAACTCACTCTATGTTATCACAATCCCACCACATATGTTTGCAAGTTCCAATCCCTTTCCCACATCTCCAACATATGTTAAAGTATTTATCATCAATTTGATTTAACTTAACTGGTGTTTAATACCATCTCCATATCACTGGTACCAAAAGCTAGAGTGGGGGCTGAATAAAAAATTAAACTGAATGAAACACTGGGAGTATCTAAAGTGTTTCCCAAGACTGATTGATTGATTTGATGATACTGCTTTGATGATACTGCTTTGAAAAGTTTGACAACTGCCAATGCATTTATTTTCTTTTCAAAATGACCCTCTCACAATAGCAGATCCTTTGATTTCCATCAGATGGAGGCAGGCTCTCAAACAACTAGAACACTGGCTAGAAAAGCTGTTTTTCTGTCACCATAGTGAGAACAATTTCTGCCTGCTAGTTCCCCTCTACTCAGCACTGGATAGGTCTCATCTGGAGTCCTGTGTCCAGTTCTGGGCACCACAGTTGAAGAAAGACGCAGGCAAGCTGGGAGGGGTTCAGAGGAGGGCAACAAGGGTGATCCGGGGACTGGAAACAAAGCCCTGTGGGGAGAAGTTGAATGAACTGGGCATGTTTAGCCTCAAGAAGAGAAGATCTGGGGGGAGATACGTATGATAGCACTCTTCAAGTACTTGGAACGTTGTCACAAAGAGGAAGGCCAGGATCCCTTTTCAGTCATCCCAGAGTGCAGGACACGGAATAACGGGCTCAAGCTAGAAGATGGCAGGTTCCAGCTAGACATCAGGAGGAACTTTCTGACAGTGAGAGCAGTACGGCAATGGACCCAATGAGCTGGGGGGGGGGGGGTCCTGGGCTCTCCCACACTGAGGCATTCACGAGGCAGCTGGACAGCCATGTGAGGGGGTGGTTTAACCTGGGGTCCTGGCCCTCTCAGCCCCTTCCAACTCGAGTATTCTATGATTCTATGAAAATAGTTTTCTATAGTTAGAAAAATACTTGATCTTCATACCAGTGCCCTTGGCCATAAGTCTTTCAGGCTGAAAAATGGGTTCTTTACCAGATGAAGAAGATGGCAAACTTTGTGGTTCAGGGATTTGCACTGTCTGGTCAGTTGTGCTGTGTGCTGTTGTGGTGCTTTTTATCAGTACTTTTGATCCACCTAACTGCCAGTTTTCACTGGGCAGACTATGAGTTGCTCTCCTCCACAAGCTCCCAGAACAGATCTGCCTTTGAACTGTGACTCTCTCCTGCATGTCTTCATCCACAGGTGTCTTCTTCACTTTCCACACCTTCCACTTGGAGAGCGGCCACGACTACCTGCTGATCACTGAGAATGGCAGCTTTAGCCAGCCCCTGAAGCAGCTCACTGGCTCTCGGCTGCCTGCCTCTTTCAGTGCTGGCCTCTTTGGGAACTTCTCTGCTCAAATCCGCTTCATCTCAGACTTCTCCATTTCGTATGAGGGCTTCAACATCACCTTTTCAGGTAGGACCTGGGACCTGGAGAGTGCCTCCAAGCGTGCAAAGGTTACTTTTCGAGACTCACTGAGCAAGAAGAATCCGCCTCTGCCACCTGAGGCTGGGAACAGCATTGGGACAAGGCCTAGTGCAATCTCTCCCTCCAGCATCTGCAGGCTTCTCACACTCAGCTCAGTCTTAAAGCAAGCTGAGCCTAGGGCAAGTCCTAAATGAGTTCCCAGCTATATCAAAAACTCAGCATGCTTTAGGCAACAGAACAGAAGTGCATGTGAGTCAGTTTCAACCAAAATAGCCAAGGATGGATCTGTGAGGAGATCTGCTTTCCCCAGAACGGAGAGCCATAATTCACTGGCTCTGACTGCATGTCACAGTAACGCCTGTTCTTTAATTAATACTGAGGACCTGTGAATATAACAGTGTGCTGGCGCACGCTGGCTGATGGGCCCCGCTGCAGCCCAAGGGGGGTCCCCCATCTCTGGATCGCTTGTGCACCATGCCAGGAATCCAGCTTGCCTCGTCTCAGACTGGAGTCCAGCATTTAATCATGCCACCGTTGTGCAGCTGCTTCTGCTTGCAGAGGAAGCAACTGGGCAAGGTGAACCTGCTGCTCTGGGAATAGCCCCTTTCTTAAAGAAAAATATGGGTTATGCAGACAGGTAAGTTGAGCGCTGCATTTTTAAGGAAAATCCAGACGGTGGCTGACCCATGGTATTCCACCATTTTTTCTCTGTAATGCCCATCTTTTTCAGACATAATTTGTTGCAAATCATTAACAATAATTTTCAATTAACAATAATTGCAGCACCAACCTGTCCATTGTGGCCTGATTAACTGCTATTTTGCTTGGTCAGAGCTGCCTGTTGTTGCAGGTTTCCTCTCTTCATCCGTGTCAGCTGCTCATTAATGTTTTTATATTATTCTTATGATCGCAGTTGCATATTGTTTAATTTAAAAACCTGTTTTCTAAAGCCTAGAAGTAAGAGATTACATGAGCAGAAGCTGCCTGAAATGAAAGAGCCTGGGAGGAATCTTCTAATTAAAAGAACAGTTGCAGTAAGAAGTAGATCTTTACTATAAAAGACTAGGACTATCTTCTGAGTAAAGATGTGGGACAGGACTGGCAGCATGTAGATTGGATGCAGCTAGTCTGTCCTCTTGCTGTGCCACCCAATTTTGCTTGCCTTCAGGCTGAATTCATTGTTTCTAAGCATCTACAGTCACTGGCTGCCGAAATTCACCAGCAACCTGCCCCCGCCCCCCCAAATGGTTGCTTCCAATATACCAACAGTAGCAGAACGGCAGACCCACAGGAGGGTTTGGGTGGGGGGGGACAAAAAATGTCCTCCCAGGTCCCTTGAACTTGCTCACTCCTGTTGTAGGAAGAGCTGGCCTGTGAAGATAAGGATGGGGAAATTGGTGCAATGTTATGTACTGGGCGAAGTCAGGGTTTTGCTTCTGGTTCCAGCTGATTCTGGGAAAGCAGCACCTTGGCTGTGATGGGAAAACGAGGCATGGCTCTAACTCCATAACAGAGCACATGACTGGGGAAGGGCTGACCCTGAAACCCCCAGCAAGCCCCTCGGCAGGTAGAGAATGGCACTGCTGTTTACAAACAATTCAAAACTGGCCAGCCTGCCCACGGTCCCAAAAGCGAACAGGAGTACAAACAGTCAAAAGCTGTTTGCAAACTACTGAAATTGCATTTGCAAAGTGTGTGCTTAAAAAGCCTCACTTTTTCAAATGCATAGTTAAGGGTGCAATGAATTGGGATCCTTAAGCCTCCCAGGGCATCCTGTGCCATCCAGGGCCATCTCCCCACTGCCGGTCCTGCCCCGTGGCACCTCAGAAGGTAAGGGAAGGGGGCTGGGGTGCCTCCAGCACACCTTGTGTCTCGGGGGCTCTTGTCTCCTCCGCTCCCCATGCCTTCTACCCTGTCTTTGAGGTTGCTTGCAGCCAGCGGGCTTCTTTCCACGGCAGCGGCAAGTGAGGGAGGTAGACCCAGCTACTCCGAAGTCACCAGCCTTGAACTGGGGAACCTAAGGAACCCCGTGGCCCCTCGATGCTCTCTAGCAGCCGTAAGATCACTCTGGAAGAAATGCAGCCTTAAAGATGGACACACTTTTGTAATTTTGCATTGTCTTGCTTTATCCAATGTGGGGAACAGGCTCCCCTTAAAAAGCTCCCTTTCATTTTTTCCCATCTTCATGCTTTAGTAAACCGAGCAAACTGGGGGAAAGAGTCACAGGCGAGCATAGGGGCAAACCCAGCTGAGCTTTGAACCGAGGTTCGGAGAACGTCTGCCAGCGAGACCATCTCCCCTCCCAAGAGCCACTCCGCCAGCCAGCAGAGGGGCATGTGAGGAATCCATTTGTGAGGCTGGAATGCACTGGATTCCTTGGGCTCGGCTGCCACGGCTCCAGTCCGCTTCACCCCAGCCACAAGCCCACAGTCCAGTCAAGCAGCCCCAGGGCTTGCACGGCACTGAGCAGGAGCGGCGCCTCGCACAGATGCTTGCACAAGTGGCGCCCCACTTTGCTCGCGCCGCTGCACATGATGTGGAAAAACCAAGGGCTCCCCCAGGGATTTACAGGCTCCCTCCCCCTCACCTGCCTGAGACAAGGCTGAGAATAATTGCAAGTCTGTGAATGCTTGAGGGACGGATCCCAGACAGCTTTGTCGCAACACTAGCATGGACACTGCTGAGCCGGATGGACTGACAGCCTGGCCCGGCATGCAACGAAGCGCTGCACTTTCCCACTAAATCAGTAGAGGAGCTGGCACTGTGTTCTCATTAGTGTCTTCCGCCTCCGGGGACATGTCCTCAGTCAGTTGGCAAAGCTATTTGTGGATAGCCATGGCCTCTGTTTGCAGGTGTGGACAGTTAGGACTGGGGGGAAAATGTCCTGCGCATGGAGAACGCTGTGTTGGGGGCGGGGGAGAGAGAGAGTTGTGTGTGATAGATTCTATGCAGTGTACAGAATAATGGGCTCAAGCTGTAGGACGCCAGATTTGGGCTGGACATCAGGAAAAGCTTCCTGACTATTAGGGGATACCATCTGGGGAGCAATGGGCCCACTGACCCCGGGAAGTCATGGGTTCTCCCACACGGAAGTATGACACAGACCTCTGTTCGGGATGCTTTAACCTGGAGTCCTGTGCTGAGCAGCGGGGCTGGATCTGGTGGTCTTTTTGGCCTCTTCCAGCTCTACTCTCCTGTGATTCTATGTATAAAGACTCGGTCACGTGAGCCCCGCTGCTGCTCGGGGAGGTGCAGTCCAGCTGCAGAGTTCTGCCTCAGTGAAGCCTGGGCATAGGCCCGGAGGGAGCAAACCTCGTGGGCTGCTGGTGATGCCACGGCTGTTTGTGCTTGCCTGCCAGAGTATGACCTGGAGCCCTGTGACGAGCCGGAGGTGCCGGCCCACAGCATCCGCAAGGGCCTCCAGTTCGGCGTGGGGGATGTCCTGACCTTCTCCTGCTTCCCTGGGTACCGCCTGGAGGGCGTCTCGCGCATAACCTGCCTGGGTGGTAGACGGCGTGTGTGGAGTTCGCCTCTGCCAAGGTGTGTTGGTAGGTGGTCACGTGCTTTAATTTTGCTTGGGCAAACTACCGTATTGTAATGTGATATGGGCAAGCAGCTGGCCCTCAGTGGGGTTGTGGGCTTTGCTGTTCCCCCTGAGTCGGGGGCATAAGGGCAAGGATGAATGAAGAGGGGGGAAAGGATGGGTGAAGGAAGAGCAGCAAGAATTGGCATTATTTGCGACAACTCCATGCTGGCTTGCAACATTACACAAATACAGCACTACAGGTGCACCGATATGGAGGTTATTTAAGTGGAGACCCCTTCTGACATGCAATGTTTCTATGTTTCTCTATACACACAAATCATGGTTCGTTCAAACCAGTGTGTGCAAGCCAGCTTCCAACCACAGTGGCAAATGCTGGTTTGAAACCATAGTTGGTATTTGCATATATTTACAGGGAACACTGCATAATAATTAGTTTCAAAAAGGAAGGATTGTGGGGGAGGGGGGAGGGAAGGGGAGGGGATGCCTAGATCCACTGAGCATTCCCAGTGTATTAGGCACGGATGGAGATCAGGAGCATCAACTCTACACAGCATCTTAGTGGGGGGAAATAGCTGCCATGTCTGATAGATGCAGGGAAAATTATATGCTGAGATCAAAAATTGGTATCCCAGAGCATGCATGGCTGCAGAAATGAGCAGCAAAGCATTGGAATACAAAAGCTGGTAGTTTTTCTGTTCCGCAAGATCCAGCGCTAAATATGCCACCTTCACTTAGCGATTGTGCTGCTCTGGTCAAGCAGGAGCCCCACAAGCTCCATGGATGTGCAAGTGCTCAGAAAGTAGAATGGCATTCCTCAAAGAGGGAGTCCCCAAGGCCACCCATCATGGGGCACCCTCCCGTGACGATATGGGCCCAAACAGTGGCATGAGCATGCAGTGATTGATCTGCAGCCTGTGGTAGAAAGCTGGGGGGGGGTCGGACCCCACTTTGGTTTGTGGCACGCTTTGCCCCTCAGGGACTTCAGGGGGACATGCAGGGAGAGACTTGGGATGCGCAAGGACTCCATAGGCACCCTGGGCCTGGGTTCCCTGAATGCCACTCCCTAGCCAGCATCTGCAGTGCACTCACCAGGAATCAAGGCCATCCCCATGCAAGAGGGGCCCCTTCCCTGTGAGTGACCCCCCCCCCAGGAAGGGCAGCAGGCACGCCTGCTCGTGGACCCCTTTTTCTGTGCCCTGCAGCTGCTTCTGACGAGGAAGGTGACTGGTTGTACAGCCACGGGCCTCTCAATGTCCGTGGGCTTCCTCCTGTCTCGGCTTGCTCTGAAGTCCATGAGGCTAGAAGGATGGATTCGGGAAGGCTCTGTCCCAGCCCCAGGAAAGACCACTTGCTGCTACAGGGAGGGAGTGACGGCATGGAGACCGAGAAGGGTTCAGCTCAGTTCAGGAAGGGAGCTGAGCTCGCATGCTGAAGCGCTACTTACCAGCAATGAGGGCAGTGTCTCAAAAATGAGGCCCTGAAGTTGGTGCAGGACAATGGAAGGGAGGCCACCCTGAGCAAGGAGAGTTAGCAGGTGCCGCTGCAAAACTCAGGAGGAGGCCGAGGAAGTGAAGCCCCAGTTTAACGCAAGGTTTGGCTAGTTGCTCAAGTCTCTGAAGACACCCAAGGCTGTCTTTGGTGTGTGCCCTGCCTGCTTGTGGTAGCACAGTTTCGGATTTCATCCTTTCTCTGTAGTCATACAACTGTCTTCACTGTGGCTGGGAATAACCCAAAGCTCCTGCCATGCCCAAATCCGGGCCACCGAAAGAAGTGCCTTTTTGTATACTGCAGAGGGAGATGGCACCATGCTTGGAGCACGTTCTGCACCTGCAGAGCTTCACCGCTGGGTATCAGGGCTGTTGCTGGGGCTCAGGAGAGCTTCTCGGAGTTGAGCAATGGTCTAACTCAGCTCAGGGAATCTCTGTCTATATTTGGGTTCATTCATTTCGCATTGACTGGCAGGGAGGTGAAAGACCAAGCAGGACAGCTTGGATGGAAACTGCTGAGTCTCTCAGCATTTGGAGACCTTCCAGGATGAACGGCACTGGTGGAGCGGTTTTCTCTGCAGACCCTTTTCTGCTGGTGTCACAGGATTTTTGTCCACTGGATGACATGGATGGACCAATTAGAAGATGGTTCTTCATCTCTTTCAGACTATTGTTCATGAACCAGCTTTGTTTCATGAAATCAGGCCTTTGTTTTATTGCATGGCACCATTCTAAGGAGTGGTTTAAACCACTGAGCCACTGGGGTTGTCCCTCAAAAGATCAGCAGTTTGAATCTGTGCGATGGGGTGACTCCCATTGCTTTGTCCCAGTTCCTGCCGTCCTAGCAGTTCGAAAGGATGCAAATGCAAGTAGATAAATAGGTACCACTTTGGTGGGAAGGTAACAGTGCCCTGTGTGCAAAAGTGCTGGGTCATGCCAGCCACATGACCACGGAAGCACCTTCAGACAACACTGGGTCTTTGGCTTACAAATGGAAATGAGCACCGACCCCTAGAGTCAGATCCACCTGGACTTAATGTCATGGGAAAGCATTTACTTTTACCTTCTTACCATACTATGAAGACAAATAGTCCCACCCAGAAATATTGTATAGGTTGCTCAGATGAGTCTAGGGCACCTTCTTCAGCTTGGCCACAAGATCTGGAAAGCAGCATGCTATTTGGGAGACTTGGGGGGTTCAAATTTCTAGGGATAATCAAAGAAGGCAGGATTAAACTGGAATGATGATGCACCAGGTAAAACAGCAGAAGGTGGGGACAGACCGTAGTTCCCTTGAGGAGCACCTGCTTTACCTGAAGAAGGTCACAGGTTTGACCTCCAGCTAGAAGATTTAGGAAACACTGATGGAAAAAACCTCTGCAGCAAAATCCTGGGTGTTTCTGTCATTTATTGTAATTGAGCAAGCTGAATTAAATGGCTTTTAATCCAGGTGAGATTACGGCAACCCCAGTTGTTCATCTGGGCTACAGGCCTGCAGCGCATTGGACTGTCCTGAGTTCCCTCTTCAAGATGTCAGTTATGGCCAAAAAGGGGGTATTTGGTTCTCTGCTGATATTTCACCTCTAGAAATTTAAGGGACAGTCCTGATCCCCACACACAGCACATTTGTCCCAATTTCCCCTTTATTTCTCTGTCACAAAAGTTTCAATGTCATTTCTGCTGGCTCCAAGATGCTCTCTGTGTGTGTGCGTGTGTGTGTGAGTGAGTGTGCAGACACGGCCAACGTTTCACATTGTACAAGCAAACACTGATAGATAACAAAGTGTGTGGTTATGCTCTTTATCAGTGTCACGTCCTATAAATGTTAAAATTCAATCACTCTACATCTCTCTATAGCTGAATGTGGCTCCTCCGTCACAGGAACTCAAGGTGTTTTGTTGTCCCCAAACTATCCACTTAACTACAACAACAACCACGAGTGCATCTACTCCATCCAGACACAGCCAGGAAAAGGAATCCAGCTGAAGGCCCGGGCTTTCAACCTGGAGGCCCGGGATGTCCTCAAGGTAATGGCTAAAGATCTGGTGTTGGAGGAGAGGTTCCCTGGGAGGTTAAGCCAACAGCACGCTGGGCAATCAGTTCACCTCCACTGGCTGAATTTCAGACAGAATTTGCAAGCTCATCACGTGAAAAGCCACACTCAGAGTACACTTCACCAACTGCACATAGGCCTCTTGATGGGTGGCAGCCCAGATTTTCTCAAACTTGTCAGAGAAAGTTGGATCTTTTTTGTTTTCGGTGAAACGCTCTTGGAAGCATAAAAGGGCCAATCTCTTGGGATGTCTCATCTACTTAAAGGGATCACTTTACGTGGTGGAGCCGAGTTCCTGTCTTTTGTTCCCAAGCTAAAGAAGTCATGTAGGTCTCCCGTGGGTTTCTCATCTTGGCACTGGGGATTGGAGCACAGCTGACGGCTATGTACCTTCAACCCAACCTGGAATATCAAGTGCTCTGTTTCTTCCTTTCCTTTCCTTTCCTTTCCTTTCCTTTCCTTTCCTTTCCTTTCCTTTGCAGAGCAGTGCATGCCCGTGCGTCCTCTCCCCTCTTGTTTTCTCCTGTACTTCATCCTCTTCCTCAGAACAAAACAAAAAAGCAAAAAGCAAAACCCTCAAACTCAAAAATGGAGACCTGCCATTGATCACTGACTGGTTTACTGCCAGGACTCCAACTTTTAAGTAATGATCAACCTGTGTATTTAAGGAAGGTTTTCGTCAACTAAGTGCACATGATCCATCTGTGACTCCATTCTATTTTTCATAGAAGCACATATACAAATCTGCCCGCTGTCACCTTAACAGTGAGAATTCCCTTTGGCCTCCTGGCAGGAAGAAGGCCTCCCCCGAGACGTAACACATTTCCTTCAAAGCAACTGCCATAGTTATCAGGGCGCGTATAACGATCTAGAGGCTTTGAGAATTCCTGAAGGAGCCACAAAGGAGGTTTGCCTGCCAGTTATTGGTGGCATTGGCCAGCTGGGCTTCTCAGCCAGGCCAGTGAGAGTGCTTTGAAGGCCAGAGAATGCTCAGGATGTTTCGTACGCTGGCCCTCTAGCATCCTCCCAGTGGAGGGCCCTTTGTTTCCTCCTCTGAGGTCATTTTTCTGCCTTTGGGGGGCTGCATCAGCTGTGAGAGGGTAGGGGAAAGGGCTGGTCACCAACTCCCCTACTGAGGCCTGGGTGCTGACTCCACTCTCAGGCAGCTTATCCCGAGTGATCCTTGGGAGGGCGATGTACTCTTAATAGATTAAGAGGGAGATAAGCATGTGGTGCCCTTTAGAGACTTTGGACTGCAGCCAGAGTACCGAAAGCCAGCCTGGCATGGTCGGGCTGGAACTCCGGAACTTCTGGACCTCATTTAGCTGCAAAGCTCTGGGTGACTTTGAACCAGTCACAGACTCTCAGCCAGGCCTACCTCTCAGGGTGATTGTGCAAATAAAATGGAGAGGAGGTGGAGGATTTTATAAGCTGCCTTGGGCTTCTTGTAGGAAAACACCCAGGACAGAAACCTGATAATAAATAAATAAAATCACAGAATAGTAGAGTACAAAGTCCAACTCTCTGCTGAGTGCAGAACTCCCAGTTAAAGCGTCCCTTCCAGATGGCTGTGCAGCTGCATCTGAGATGCTTCCAGTGTGGGAGAGCCCAGGAGCTCCTCAGGTCACTGGTTCCATTGCCGTGCTGCTCTGACAGCCAAGGAGGGTCCTGATGTCCAGCCAGGAACTGGCTTCCTGGGCCTTGAGCCCACCACTCCATGTCCTCTAGCCTGGCACACTTGAGAAGAAATCCTGCCCCCTCCATTGAACGCACTTGCAAACAAACCCACATCAGCCTCAGCCAGCACGGGCAATTTCAAAAATCATTCGTTTAACATTATTTTTAGGTAAAACCATCTCCCAAAAGCATGCAGGATAAGAGCCATCCAAAAATATACAAATAACTAATAGTACAATTAAATACAATTGTACAAAAAGTGCAATTTGTAAAAACAAATTGGGCATTCTGAGAAATATAAAATAGCAACAGTTTTGCTGCCCACACTAAACGGAAACAGACATAAATCATCCAGTGCCAGTCTGTTTCACAGGGAATGTATCTGAGAAATCAGAAGAGTGAACATTTCGTCCAGCCCTAATTTCTACCATGCCACCCATGAATGCACTGACTCAATCACGCCGCACAGCCAGGAAAGACAAAAGCTGAGCGCAGCTCTTGTGCGGAAGAGGGGGGAGCTGGGCCAAGGCAGCGCAACACCTGGGGTGAGAACAGCTGAGAGGAGCCCACCCAATCGGTGATCCCTTCTCTGTTTTCCAGATCTATGATGGCAGCAACAATTCCGCCCGCCTCTTGGGCTCCTTCAGCCAAACAGAGATGTTGGGCCTCACCGTTAACAGCACCTCCAGCACCATGTGGCTGGAATTCATCACGGACAGCAACACCACCAGCGAAGGCTTTGAACTGCAGTTTTCTAGTAAGTCCCAGAGACTGGTTAACTGACGCCTTGCGATCAGGGAACTGTGGGAATGTTGGTTTGGTTTGCCAGTTTGGAATGACTGATTTCTGGCCCAGTTGCAAAGCAGCAATTGGAAGTGGCTGATTTGGTGTGGAGTTCTGGATTTCCAGCTCTATGACACAGCACAATGTGCACACTTAAAAAGATAAAATAAAAAATACTGTGAAGAGAATTTTCGCAAAACATGTGATTTGCACAAGCCGGAAGGCAACTACTATGTCGTTCTAGTGAAGGGCTAGTTATCCAGAATCCAGGGTGGGGACTCCGATTCCAAACCCGTCCGTCCCTGAAAGTGAGCGCAAGCTTGTCTCTACCAAATACACTCACAAAATATCAAACACTTGTGTGCAATTTGACATTGTTTCCAAACTTTGCTGCTGCTTATCAGTTTTCTTGGTTGACTGAATCGACCTCACTTTCCTCTGTGGAGGAAATGCATGCAAATTGGGGGAGATTTGTGTAAATCTCCCAATGGACCACTGCTCATACCGTGCAAGTTTTCTGTTTGCACACAGTGCGCAATCGTCCAAACAAATTTCAGACCATTCTGGCAATAATGAATATTGGTCCTTTGCACATTTCTCCTCTTGAAAGGAGATCTTTTTAGTGTATTGCTAACAACTGTGTAAATCAGCGCTGAAGAAATGAGTGTTAGGCAAAAACTAGCATGCAGGCCTGGAGAAGATGGAGATCAAAGTAACCGAAACTCATTGGAAGACCGGGCTTCCGCTTTCTTTGTGCTGGGTAACTTAGAAAGTAGCTCTTCGGGCGCTTCTGAATGTGAGCAGTCTTCTTTCTGCCATTCTGGTCAGCTCATGCTCAGCCTCAAATGGCCTCTCCATTTAGGATCCCTCCAAATAATCCTAGCACAGATAAAGCAAAACCCCCTCCATCTTTTCCTTCTTAAAGAATTTTCTACTGCAAGGAAAGAGATGGAAGGAGCCAAGGGGAACATGAGAAGGTTCCAAGGGGAAGACATCTTCAAGCAGAGCCCCACAAAACCTCACGAGCGGAGCATGATAAATCCTGTTCCAACACTAGCATTGCTAGTGTTGCACCCACAGCCACATGCACCTCCTTTTCTTCCTCTGACTGTGATTCTCCTTGGTGGTTTTGTTATGTACGAGCTCTTTCCAGTGTTGTTCTCAAAAGGTTATGCCATTTCAGCATTTTATCTTTGAAGGTGGCAGGGGTCGGGGAGGAATATGAGTCCCTGGAGATGAACGGCCACCATTGGGCCGTGGGAACTCATAACCTAGCCCAGAGCTCACAGCTTTGGTTCCCAGCACAGACCCTAATCCCAAGGCCCCCCTGGCCCACGTCCCAGGGTGGTCTTTTCTCTCGAGCTGTGGGCACAAGCAAGAGCTCTGTAAATACCTCCCAGGTGAAAGTAGAAATAAGGATTCTCTGGAGCTTTCTCCTCGGGGCGCTTCAGGTTTGGTGCTGCTTGAGCAAGGTGAAACACCAGCAAAAGGGAGTGCGCTTCTGAGGGGCACATGGAGAAGACTGCCCGCCTGCTAGACCTCTCTTCCACCTCATGCTGGTTAATGAGCACTCTGTTTGTGCACGGGAGCAATTAGGCAGGCAGAGGTAACGCCACAGGCCCAGCTGCTTGCAATATGCCCTCTTTTAAAAGACCACTGAAAACAAGCTCCTCCTACTGCACAGGAATGAAAGTTTGCAAGCACTAAAGAGCAAGAGGGGTGTGCTTCTGGTCATATACAGAGTGAAACCATAAGCAAAGATTAGGTGACAAGATTTTAGAAAATAAGCACCAAATATTGCTAGTTTGGTCATATTATTTATAGGGAGGGTGTCAGAAATGTATATACATCTTAAGAAAGGAAAAACAGTATTAAAAACTGCTGCCTGGTGACGCTAGCATTCATTCAATTAACATCATCTTTTGAGCGAACGCCATACTACACATTGCTACCATGATTCAATTCAACTTCCAAAAACAATACATAGATAACATCTCTTAAAATGTGCATACGTTTTTTGCCCCCCTCCCCCTGTATTCCGCCTTTATTCCTTCCAAGGAACTCAAGGCAACTTACATAATTCTCCTCTTCCTCTCATGCTTGTCCTCATGACAACAGTCCTGTGAGGTAGGCTGGACCAAGAGGGTGTGCCTGGCCCCAAGCCACCCAGCTGGCTCCATGGCTGAGTGGGGACTCAGTCCCCGGGTGCTGAGTCCGATCCTGCGCTCTTGACCTCTACAACACCCTGCCCCCTCCCCACCCGCCATTTGTGCAGGTAGCAGGAAAGGGGCAGCTGGAAGCAAGATGTTTGCAGTGGACGGGTTAGAAAAGCATTTAATGAATAAAGAAGCAATAACCGTGCCTGCCCGGCCAACTGACCACGATGCAGCCATGACCGCCCAAGCACCTGTGGCCTGAGGGTGGCAGCGAGCAAGGGGTGCCATGGGGTGGGCCTCAGGGGCACCCACTCCGAGGCTCACAGCCAGGTCGTCGTTCCCAGAGCCGGCAGCTGTCCTTTCCTGTGCCTTCAGGCTTTGAGCTGATCAAGTGTGAGGATCCCAGCGTGCCGCAGTTCGGCTACAAGGTGCGTGATGAGGGGCACTTTGCGGGCAGCACCGTCTCTTTCAACTGCGATCCCGGCTACACACTGCGGGGGAGCCCCGTGCTGACCTGCTTGACCGGGGAGCGCCGCACCTGGGACCAGCCACTCCCCATCTGCGTAGGTATGACTCTCCCTTCCTTATGCCCCATAGGCCACTTCTGCCAACAGGGGGCAGTTGGCTGAAAAGACAAGCTGGCTTAGGAAAACATGGCTTGTTCCACCCTGAATACAAAATGGTTCTAGAGACACCTTGCTCTGGGAGCTGGGGCTCTGAGCCCTCCTTCCTCTGCTCAGTCAAAGGAGCAAGACCTTCGGTTTGCACCTGAGCTCAGGTCTCAAGGAGCCTGAGGGGCAGAACACCTTTTCCAAGGATGGACTTGGAACAGCTTCAGCAAGCAGCCTAAAGACGGGGTGAGCCAAGTGCAGGAGCAGCCGAGCAAACCGTGAGGATTGAGAATGACCGCAGCTTTGTCTGGTTCAGCTGTGGCTCCACTTCCTTTCCCAATGACCTGCAGGTTAACCAGCCAATCCATAGAAGTAGGTCTGCTTGTCTAGTTTGCTGCCCAGCAAAGATGCAACTTGCACCCTCCTTTTGCCGCAGCCCCTTCTTCAAAGCCTGGCTGTGGCCGTGCACTTGCGAGCGTCTTTTTCGGATTCCATCCGTGTTTCCACAACTGCCCCCACTAGACGCATGCACACAAGTCTGCGTGCATGGCTTTGCCTTTGCTTTGCTTACGGCAAATATAGCAGCAATAGCAGGACCATTTAGGAGTTGGCTACTAAGGTTTCAAGAAGGACCTGCTCCGCTTTGGCAGAAATGAGGCAGTCTAACACTTGTGCCCACATACCATATAGCTATGTGAGGGGCTGTCACATGGAGGTGAGTCAAAACCTGTTTTCCCCTGCAAAGGAGGGCAGGACGCGCTCCAACAGAGGGAGCCAAGGTTCCATTTGGATGCCAGGAAGCACTTCCTGACAGTTAGGATCCCTGGGGTATCGAATGGGCTTCCAGGGAGGTCGTTGAGGCCCCATCGGTGCGGGTGTTCAAGGATAGGCTGGATGTGCACATGGTGGGCATGTCGTGAGCGGAACCGGCTGGAGCCGGGGGTCAGACTAGATGGCCTGGGAGACCCCTTCTGACTCACTCTGTTTCTGTGTTTCTATTGTCCAAAGCCTGCTCTAAAGTGCACTGATAATTGTATTTGTACAGAGGACATTAGTATCTGCAGCACAGAACTACTCAGGACTAGTAACAGGTTAGGGTATCTTTACTGTACTGCTGAACTGACACTTCTGAGAATAATTTCTCTGAGGTTTTTTTCTCACCACGGCTTTAGCAAAGGAAGGCCACTGTACAGAGTCTTCTCCAAACATTCTCCATCATTGGTAGGGGATGTCTGCTGCCATCCCCATCCCATTTCTCCGGGATCTTTATGTTTGCAGCATCGTGGAGAATGGAAACCAGGTAGTCAGACTGAGATGCACACGGACAAGCAGCTGGGGAGGGTGAAAAGGAGGAGCAATCGGGGGGGGGGCTGGTCAGTGGGGTCCTGCTGGGACTTGGACTCTTGACATTTGCCCACCCATCCCTGCCTTTGACCTCAGCCCTCTTCCCAGTGCAAATCAATTCAGAAATGGGATAGAATAGACTTCTGGGTGAAGTAGGACCAGGCTCTTCCCTGTAAGAATACCTTTCGGCACCCTTGTCTTGATGATGATGTTCTCTATGGGTCTAGTTCCTGGAGTCCTGGATCCTCTCAACCTACTGTCCAGAAACAAGCAAGTGGCCCAGGAAAGCCCCCACCCCAAGGAGAAAGAAGCCACAGCCCCCTGGGCCTGCAAAACACAGTTTGCTGAATGGCGTTTGTGTTTCTTCCAGCCGAGTGTGGGGGCACCATCAGGGGTGAGTCTGCCGGAAGGATCTTGTCTCCAGGCTATCCAACTCCCTATGACCACAACCTCAACTGCATCTGGACTATTGAGGCAGAGGCTGGCTGCACAATAGGGTAAGTTTCCCCAGCCATAGACTGGGGCTGACCCCATTACCACCACCGTCCCCAAAAGGCACGCTCATGTGGCAAGTTAGGACCACCAGCTTATACTGTACGTGCAAGTACACCAGCCATGTTTGTACTCTGCAACTAGAAACTAAGGAAAAGGATATGGAGGCCTGTGCCGAAAGAACCCAAAGGGTCTGGCAGGAAAAGCTGAGTTGTGCAACCTGTGAAAATTACGCATACTGGTCACATTTGCATGATTTCTCTTGCTTTGCATAATTTATTTTGAAGTGTTTACTATTTTGCATCATCAGGGGAAGGTTTAGAAAAATAGGGCCTCAGGCTTCCTAATCAGTAAATTAATCAACTAAACTCTTGTAGAAAAATCTGGTTGATGGATCAATGGCAGTTGGGTGGCTTTCCTCAATGAAGCTGTGAGTTAATGACATACTTATTGATTCCTCTGCATTTAAGGTTGGTTTTTATGACTTGCTGCAATGGAAAACTGGGAAAAGAAAACATGTGCCAGATTCTGCAGTATGGTTACTATAGGTTCTTTCTTGAAAAGCTCACTGTAGCTTTGGTGGCTTTTTCTGGTCCAGGTGCCAGGCAGAGCCAAACCTGCTTGGCATCAAGAATGCATATACATAACATGGATTGGTTTCCAAATTAGTGGATGCTTCCCTTGCAGGATTTATGGGGGAGAAACCAAATGGAAGCTTGTAGGCTCCGACACAAACTGATTGTGACCACCACGGCAGCAGGCTCCAAATGCCTTGAGCATGCAAGTAGGGGTGCAATCTAAAGCACCCACACCAAGTTGGGGGTGGCACCTTATGGATCGGCATGAATAAAACTGGTGTGTGCTAACTGATAGATGCAGATGTCAGTTTAGAAATGAGTGTCTGGACTTAAATAGAAATGCAGTCTCTCTCACCATAGTGTTGAATGTTGTGGCCAGGGAATCTGTGTCTCGGCCTGTTTGCTCGCCCGTCCACCTGCAAAGTACTGATGGGCTACACTTCTTAGCCCCTTGACCTTTCGACTGGAAGTGGACAGGACTGACCTTCAAACACAGGCTGGTCTCCCGGCAGATCATGCCAAGCAGGGGCCTGCGTCCCATGTCTGTGCCCTTCTCCAGTCCAGTTTAATTCTCATTCTGGAGCCCAAGGAAGGAAATGGACTGCAGAATGGCTCCTGTACCACTGTGGTGCTTCATTTCTCACATGTCCACCTTTGCTATGTGGCGGCAGCTGGCTGTACCAGGAGTAATGTTTGATAGGGTAGCTAAGATCATACCATCACTACTACCTTTCCCATTAAAACCACGACAACAACAAAAACCACCTTTGGATCTTTTTCCTCCTCTTCAGTGTCTCTATGTTCCAACATTTGTTGTTCAGTCGCAAAGTCATGTCTGACTCTTCATGACCCCATGGACAACATTCCTCCAGGCTCCCCTGTCCAAGCTCTCCTCTCACCATCCCTTGGAGTCCACCCAACCCCACACCCACCACCCCAGTGACCCCATCCAGCCACCTCAGCCTCTGCCATCCCCTTCTCCTTTTGCCTTCAATTGTTCCCAGCATCAGTGAGTCCTTCCTTCTCCTTAGGCAGCCAAAGTATTTGAACTTCATCTTCGGAATTTGTCCTTCTAAAGAACAGTCAGGGTTGATTTCCTTTAAGATTGACTGATTTGATTTATTTGCAGTCCAAGGGACTCTCAGGAGTCTTCTCCAACATCACAATTCAAAAGCATCAATTCTTTGGCACTCAGCTTTCCTTAAGGTCCAGCTCTCACAGCCATACAACTGAGAAAACCATAGCTTTGACTATATGAACTTTTTGTTCCAACATTTAGAGACCCTCAAAATGCATGTGCGCGCACACACACACACACCCTACTTCCAAGCCTCTTGTATTTTCTGCACCTGTTACCCTTTGACACAGTATGAAAACGGTCTAAAGGAATGGGGAAAAAGATTATTTCTTTCGGGGTTTCTGTGCACTTCCTGACAATGGTTTCATCCCATAGTATCTTGCTTCCCTAGAACTTCAGGGGATGGTCCAGACACTGTCGTTTTCTGTTCATATTCCTCCCAAATTTTATCACCACTTTGTCCATCTTTTCACTTGCCAGAAGAAGAAATCAGCCAAGAAGCAAATGCCACAGTTGGTTGGATTAGGGACCTTCCATCTGAAAGCACCTTTCTTTGTACCATTTCACTTAGGCAGCAGAAAATGCCACAGATTTTCCATGAACTCCCTTCAGCACCAACATTTATGATTTTAATTAATATTCCCAAAGTGAGCATTCTGGCAAAATGTGCTTTATTGAAAGTAAGGAAAGGAGGTTTTGAAAAGAAAGTGAGATCTTATTGAAAGCTCAGTGGTGAGAAAGTCAAGCCATTTGCTCTTGCCACAACCCAATATTGCTTTATTAAACTTTTTACATATTAACTCAATCGTTATTACATTACATTTCTATTCCACCCATAGCCAATGCTGTCTGGGTGGTTCACCCATCCAGATTTCAGCCAGACCTGACCCTGCTTAGTTTCCAAGAGCCGGCAGGATCAGGCCCTTCAGGCTGTGCAGAAGCTTTGCAGTCATGTTTGTTTCTCCAAGAGTACTCTCTAAGGGGTGCTGGCCAAAATGGCCTTTGCCAGTTTTGTGGCCACATTCAGAAGTGGAGCCATTTCCACAATTTGGGGGCATGGACTATGGTTGGGGGTGCTGGGAGTTGTAGTCCAAAATATCTGGGAAGTGCCACATTAGGGAATGCCGTTCAGACAGCTAGAATAGACTAGCACCTCGGTTATGTCAGAGCTGTGGGTTTCCTTCCCAATGTTGTGCTAGGATCTTTAAAAAGCCTAGGAAGAATATCAACTAACAGTGATGGCTCATTCTTCAAAGCACAACATATTTGAACATTTTTTTAAAAAGTTTGATTCCATCTCCAATAGAAACATTTGTGCTAATACAAACATAGCAGGGGAATGAATATGAACAAAGAGTGATGCCCTCTTGAAGAAAGAGTTGATTAATAACTGTGCCTTCGTCAGACACAGACAATGTGCCACCATTATCTTAAAGATGGACTTAAAATATTAAAAGCTCCACCCTGCTGCCTTCTGCTAAGTAGGTGGAGAGGTAGCCAGGGAAATGGCAAGAATACAGAAAGGAGGAAAAGGGAGAAGCAGACTTGAGAAAGCTGACTGTTTTTCACACTGCTGACTCCTTCCATGCTTTGTCAAAAAATACTACCTGTGAATTGAATCCATGTGCCAGTCCACTTATTCCTCTCTCTCCATAACAACTATCTAATTTCCAGCAGCTGTGAACTGTGCCATTTTTCATGCTTTGCTTTCCTGGCGATCTTGCATTGCAATATCTCTGCTCTAGAGACAAAAACTGTACCTGTTTAGATAGCAAAAGAGATCCTGTGCTTGTTTAGACAGAAAAAGTCCTACAGCTTCCAGAATGCCGGCATCCGTAGGATGCTTTCTGTCTGAGTATGCATTTGTTTGCACTGTAACTTGTTAAATGGCCATTACTTTTCCCACTGGGAGCTGGGAAGACTTTTGCAGAAGGATGGAGGGGGAGCTCAGCTGAAGAGTTCTCAGCCCCCTCACTGAACTCAGCCTCCCACGAGCCTTGGCATCCTTGCAGTGTTAAAGGAGATGATTGCTGTATTCTGCAGATCTAGCCTTACTGTATCTGTTCTTTCCCCACCCCACAATCCAGCCTCCACTTCATGGTTTTTCACACAGAAGAGTTCCATGATGTGCTCAGGATCTGGGATGGGCCAGTGGAGAAAGGGATTCTCCTGAAGGAGGTTAGTGGCTCTGCCATGCCCAGCGATGTCCACAGCACCTTCAACTCCGTGGTCCTGCAGTTCAGCACAGACTTCTTCACCAGCAAGCAGGGCTTTGCAATCCAGTTTTCAGGTGGGTCTAATGAGAAGCGCTGGTCCTTTGGAGGTGGGAAGGCCTGGAGAGCGTAGCAATGCTCATTAATGCTCATTCTAACTCATTAATCTCTGAATTGCACATGCGTGGCTTGCTGGGAGCAGGATCTGGGTGGCAAAATTGCCTTTCGCTGCACCTTAGCATGTCCTTCTGGCAAAACACGGTGAGGTGTGGGTGGACGGCATCTGCATCCAATGGCCTCTTTGAACGAGAGCATCATCCATCCGCAGCGCACCGCATTATTGTCAATGGGTCCATAACCTGCCCCATCAGGTGGCATGAATGAGCAGAGTTGGATCGGGGCGGCCATTTTCCTTAAAGCGCTGGCAGGTGAGGCTCCTGCCAGGTTAGCCATGGGTGGCCTGGCAATGGAGGCCTGGCTCGACTTCCTCAGCAGCGGGGACAAGTCCCCTCTCTCCTGCTTTGTCTTACTCAGAGGGAGGGGAAGGCACACACCTTATTTTCCTTCAAGCGGGTCTTCAAGAAGCCACCCCCCACCCTGCAGTGGAGGGCAGGATGTGCTGCAATGGAGCTCAGATCAGGGAACCAAGACTTAGAAGCACTTCCAGATGGTTAGAACCCCTCGGGTCTGGAATGGGCTTCCCCAGGAGGTGGTTGTGGCCCCATCGATGGGGGTGTTCAAGGATAGGCTGGGCATGCACATGGTGGGCATGTCATGAGTGGAGCTGGCTGGAGCCAGGGGTCAGACTAGATGGCCTGGGAGACCCCTTCTGACTTGCTCTGTTTCTATGTTTCCATATGTTGGTGGGATGCCATTGCTCCTTTGCTGTTTGAGTTTTAATTGATTTCTTTTATGCTATGTTTTCAGAAGATGTTGCTGTTGATCTATATTTTATTCTTTATTATCCACCTTGAGCATCACTTTGGTGGGAAAGGTCAATGTTAAATTCATAAAAGAATAAATAATGTATTTTTCCATGTATAAGACACTACTTTT